AGTGTATGAACTTATACAAGGTTGCCTCTAAGTTCACAGATTTAAAAGATAACTGAGGTTTGCAGGGGAGTGGGGGCATAGGGCCAGACACTGGGCTTTGTTCCCGCCGGCCTCCCAGGTGGGGGTGGGGGGAGTGAGCCTGGGGGCCTGGGCCTCTGTCGTGTCGTTTCCCCCCCCCGCGTGGCAGGCGATGGAGTGGATGGGCCTGCAGGTGGTGGTGACAGAGTGGATGGAGGAGGGTCCCCCCTGCTCCCTGCACGCGGTGGAAAATGGAGAGGCCAGGGGTGGGAGCAAAGCCAGTGCTGCTGGCCATGCCCCCCTGGCCCTGCAGGCAGCAGCGATGAAGCAGATGGAGGGGCGGTGTCCAGCCCGGCGCAGCAGGGGGAAGGGGAGAGCGGGTCCAGCCCCGTAGGTGTGGGGGGAACGGGGTCGGACACAGGTCACTGTCCCCGGTCACCGCCCACCCCCCTGATACTTTTGACAGGCAATTGGCTAGCATATAAGTAATAACTTGCTTCTCTTCTTTGTACATCCCTTCTGTGGTACTTAGGTGCCTATCCTGGACTATATCTGAATATAGTGGCTCAGCTTTACCACTGCCTTGCACCTCACACCGTCTTCTATCACTGTACAAACTGGTTGTGAGTGCTATTAGACTATAATGATAGCATCGTCTGCCCATTGCACACAGATGTAAAAGACCGTTTCAGGAACAAGGCAGCAAAGAATGGGGCCCTCTGGTATTTTCAGCTGCGCTGCTGCTGTTCACATGGTAGTGCACGAAAGGCAGAGCTAAGTCAGGCCCTGTCGTGCTAGCAGCATGTAGCAATCAGCAACCCCCACCCTAAATTACTTACAGACTCTTAGACAAGAAATAACAGGTGGATGAGAGAACCAAGCATGCTGATATGGGCAAGGCAAGGTAACTTCCTTGATCAAGTGGGTGAAGTTTGTAGCCTTTTCAGTAGCGCCGATGGTGCCTGCCTAACTATTACCGGGTTATAGTTTTCTTTCTGGCTTGCAGGAGAAGGATGAGAGGGTCTTTATGGATTTTCACTAGGTGGGTGGGCACAGGGGGAAGCCCAAGAGTGCTGGGCAAAGCAGTGGTAAACACCGTGCAAGGAAAAGTTTGATGCAAACATTTCTTAGTTACCCAAGAGGTTGAGTATTGCTTAGATCAGCATTTGTTGCATTGAATCCATTCTGCAAATTGTTGGATTTAGACCTGGATTAAGGAAAAGGGCTTGTGTGAATCTTTTTCTATTTCTGTTGACCTTGAGTGTGTTACTTTTTCAGGCTTCATGAAAGTCAAGAAGAGGAGCCAAACATCCTGCTGGAGTGTGACAGCACCGTGCTGGACTCAGTTCAAAAGCATTTGAAATTGTACAAGATCCGGAAGAAAGTAGACATAGACCCCTGCCTTGACCTGTCTTTGTGGGCAGTCCTCCCAGGGGAGCAGTCTGGATACGTTTCCAGTACCCTTGATAAATACAAAGACAAAACTTTGATTTTTACTCCTGATCCCAGAGCAGAAGTCATGGGCTGGAGATTGATCATGAGCAAAGAGACAAACCCATTAGAGGTTGTCCCTGGGAGTCAGATAGGAAACATTAAGGAGTATCATAGGCACAGATACAAACAAGGTAAGCCAGTTCTAGTTTTATATTCTTACAGACCAGGAAAATGAAAGAAATGATACATGTTTTCATAAAAAGTCTATATGCAAGACACTGGAGAAAGTTATAAATGCTAATTATTGCCAGTCTGAATGTACTGAACATGGTAGGGAACACAGTTCTTGTCTGATACTTTGGGGCTAAATTTGATTTCTGTTCTATTTTTTTTTAAATAAATATATTTTTCTGTTGCTAAGGTTTTTTTGTGTGTAGGTGGGTTGGTGGGTGGCATGTGTATACAATGAAAAATAGGATTTCTCATTTCCATATGGTCAGATGTTTCCATAGTTTGAGTCATTTTGTTGAAGTTTGGACTACTACCAGTGCTGTCTGTTTTCCTGTTGCCAGGGAAAGCCTTGGCAAATGAATTTGGTCTGTTTAGAAAAGAATATGTGGCTGGATTCTTAAAGGCATTTAGGAACAGAGCAGTTTACATTTGATTTGTGATGGAAATTGTAGCTCAGATCCTTCTTTTAACGTGTTGATGGATCTGTTGACTTCAGTGGGTTTCTGGAAAGGTGCTACCAGAAAATATTAGCTGCAGTGGTAGCTGGGGGAGCAGTGAGCAGGACCTGGTCACCCTCAAACTGGGGAACAAGGGGACAGTCTTAATCAGTAACGTATACACTTTGGGCTTCAAAAGGACTAATTTCAACAAAACTGAAGAAAAATGGAGTGACATTGACAAGGAGGAAAAACTCAAATACAAAAATATGACATGAGGGGGCAGAGGAGCTCTTTAAGAAGAGCTTATTAGATGCCCAAAAAGCAATGTGCAACAAAGGTGGAAGAGATAATAGTCACCGTGGTCCAGAAGGTATGAAGTGCAAATTATTGATAAAGCATTTGGCAAAGTCTTAAGAGATAAGGACAATAAGAAAGAGGTTTTCAAGTTGGATGACCCAAATTCTTTTTTTTTTTAAATAGGTTTTAATATAAATTGGGCTATTTCCTGACCAGCCTGTGCATACTACATAAGATTTTGTAAAAATGACCCTTTATTGAACCTACAATCCAAGCATGTGATGAAGGTGATCAAGATATGACCCTTCCTATTAAAATATGTACTGGTTCATTTGACCCCAGCTCTGCGTAGTGCTTACGATTTCCACAGGGAAGTGCTCAACACCTCTTGAGATCAGACTTGAACGCAGCTTTTCACTTTGCCTTTCCAATCGGCCTTTGTTAAGGCTGCTCAGTTAGGGCAGATGATTTCAGCTTGGGCCCTGAGGTAACCTGTTGAAAGGCCATTCTTTTCAAATTATTTCTGTTTACAAGTATAGCCTTATTTACAGTTTGCAGGGGACAGCAAGCTTGACAGCCCATATACTGAGAGGTCCTTGTTGTTGGAGGAGCCCTACAGCATTTATCTGTTGATTCTCATTTTATTTTCCCTCCAGGAATTCCTGAAGGTGTAGAAGACATTCCTCCAGGAGTAGCCCTGCCCCTGGAATCCAACCTGGCCTATATGAACGGCATCAGTTTTACCAAAGGCTGTTACATTGGACAGGAGCTAACAGCGAGGACCCACCACATGGGTGTCATCCGTAAACGTCTGCTGCCAGTTCAGCTTTCAGCTCCTCTGTTATCGGAAAGGATTCCTGAGGGGTCTGATATCTTGACTGAATCGGGAAAATCAGCTGGCAAATACCGGGCTGGAGGAGATGAACTTGGCATTGCTTTGCTGCGATTGGCTAATGTAAATGAACCGCTGCATATAAATCTACCAGGTGACACCACTGTGAACCTTACTGCAACTGTACCCAAGTGGTGGCCAAAACCTGCCAATAAGTAAATGAGGAATCATCTGCTGTACGTTTGCCTTACAAGACAAATATTGTCTCAGCAGCTTGGAAAATTCATTCTCTTCCTCCTGTCCCATGCTTTTTTTCCCCCTTTTGCCTTTATATTTTGCTTGCAGGATTCAGTCAGGGAGGATTGTAGCAGGGTCCTTGGGATCTGGGCCAAGCACTGGCAGCAAGTCAAGGGTAATGTGCTGCCCATTATGGAGAAGCCAGCCTATGGGGTGGTGAGACACTAAGGAAAGTTCAGTTTATGGACTTTCTTCTGCATATTTCCCTTGTAAAACAGATTGCGGGAGATGGATTAGAGAGAGTTGTGCTGTGGATGGCCGGGCTTAATCCCCAAAGATGATCCATCCACTCGCAGCACTTCTGTGGCCTGCTTTCTCCTGCCACCTGCACCTTATTGACTTCTGAAAGAGAGTGAAAACAAGCCAGTTGCTGCTGTCCCTCGGGAGCTGTGCTGTGGAGGGGTGACTTCTGTACTGGCTTCCTCTCTGTTGCCTCTTGGCTTAGCCAAAGCTGATGTGCACAGGGGGTCATGTCACACAGATGCTGCTCCCCAAGTAGGTGCTTGGGAGCTTTGAGCTGTTTTCCTTTCCTTCACATGAAGTAGCAGATGAGTGCATGAGCCCTAAAAGTCATGCTTGGGAAGGGGGAGGAGGGCTGTACTGGGTAAAGAATACTAACAAGGGGGTGTTTAAAGAGGCCAGACCCTAGTCTGTGTAAGGGTGCCCAATATTTATTTTAGTTGGTATGGACATGTTGTAGGATCTGAGGATTTGTAGTCTACCACTTAGTGGATGGATCAAAGTTTATTGTAAGTGTAGTGCTTTGTTGCAACGCAGAAAGGGGTGATGGGAGTAGGAGTCTTATCATTGCATGTATAAAAAGCGTGGGTGTGTGTACATATTATTTTTGTGGTATTGCACATTTTAGCAAAGAGCATGCTGCACAAATCTTTCACTAGGATGCATCTTTGCTACACTCAGGCTAAAACATTCATTGTGGAGGTTCTTGCAATGAACTTTCTGCATAGCTCCCAAATTTCTGGTTATTTTTTTTTTCTTTCACTGTTAACTGTGAAGCAAAAGGCATGGATAATACTCTGCAATTCAAATATGTAATTTGCTTTCAATACCTCATCCTGCGAGTGAGAAATGTATCCAGGTTTTGAAATACTGGTAAGTCCCTGCAGAGCCAGCAGAGGGCACACACTGCGTACACCAGTTTTTCCAGAGCTGCGCTGCCATCCATGAGGCTGGTCAGAAAGGCTTAGTCTACAAGCAGTTTTGGTATCAATATAGCTATTTCGGTTGGAGGCGTGATAGTTCACTGAAATAGTTAAATTTGGACAACCTGTGCTGTTTGCACAATCACACCTGTATACTAGTGCCTTATGGGAATAAGTTATGTTGCTGTGAGCACCTTTAAACTAGTACAACTATTTATTTTGCCAGCAAAATCTGAGGCAGAACTTTAACTCAGAAGTGAGCATGGCTATGGACTGGGAGTTGTGCTGTTAACGCTCTGTGGGGTAGACCAGGACTGATGGTGCTGACAATAAGGGGATTTTTAACTATGGTGGTGTAGCTTATAATTAAAGCAGTACAGCTCTTTTTCTGTAGACCATGCCAAATGTAGGTACAATGAGGAAATAAATAGTGGAACTAGCTGACTTGTCCATAAGGAAATCCTGTAAATTGCCCAAAAACCCTCAATGAGTTTCTATAACCTTGGGCTGCATTATTGCTCTTGCATCATTTTTACAAACTGATGTGTGTTTGTCCAGTGCAAGATGCCCGCTCCTCCCCTCTATATGGATATTATGGGAGACAGTATCAGACAGGATGACTTGGAAGAGTGCAGGATTGTGTCCTCTGAAGAATGAGCAGGAGAGTGCTGAGCAAAGTCTGCAGTAGTCTGTGGCTCCAAGGCCTGCGTGCCATCTATGCTCATGTCTGCATCCCGTCTTTCCCATCTGCATAACTTGTTGCCTTTGCCTCCGAGTGTTCCTGGTTCCTGCTTCCCACATTTTCTCAACAGCTTCAAGCTGCTGCCAAACAAGGCCTTTCTCCAGCCAGTTCACGTTGCTGTCTCTTCCTGGAGTTTGCTTCATCCGCCTCACTCTGTTTCCTTCAACCTCTCTTTGGCTAGTGCTGATTTATGCTGGCTCCATCTTTTCATCTAGCCCTGATTATGCAGCCACGTCTGTCCTCTCACCTGACAGCTTGCCTTCCTTGTGCCTTCTTGTCCTCATCCACTGGTGATGTAACCTAATCTATGAAAATACAGACAGCTCCTATAAAACGAACAATAAAATCTGCACTCAGACTTGCGCACTGGGTGTGCATGGTGTGGACAGAAAGAAGTCCTGTTTATTCCCTGTTTGTAATAATTGTCCAAAGGGCATTTTGGCATTGCATTGTCCTTGCCATAACTGTGAAGTGGGCTGTTTCTGTGAGAGCTGCTCATGTTTGTTAAAACTCCTCAATCTTGCTGTAAACTAATTCTGTGGAATACCTCATTAAAAGTTAGCTATGTCAGTAATTTAAAAGCATCTCTTACTTTTGATTGGTCAGTCTAAGTCAGATTTACACAGACAAAGGTCTGATCTTTCAGTGATGGAACTACGTTGGCATTCTTGCGTTTTAGAATGAGGGATCTGCTCCTATTCCTGTCTAAAGACAATGAAAATGTGGCCCATTCTGGGTCCGGCCCAAAATCCACCATCTACCAAAATGGGAAGTCAAAGGTGAATTGGGAAGTGTGGTATCTGTTAAGACCTGAGCCCTCTTTTAAATGTTTCTCCTACATATGATGGTATGATTTATACAGGAAGAACAAGAGGAAGTGGTTGATTGTAGACTTCAGTACTAATAACCAGAATATGCCCTTTAGTCTGAGGGATTGTCAGTTTGGAATGGCATAGAAGGAGAAATTCATGGGTGTAATACTTGATCACAGGATGATTATGAATCACCAGGAGATGCAGTGATGGAAAAGGTGATCTGAATGTTTATCCATCAAAGTATTTCCAGTTCAGAAGTTACAGAACAGTAATGCTGTTCTACAAGGCATTAATGAAGCCACATTTGAATTACCATCTATAATTCTGGTCATGCATGTTCAAGAAAGGAGCTCAAGATGGAACAGGTGCACGGAAGGCCCACCAAAATGAAGGCGGAGATGGGATATGATTAAAAATACATTGGGGTGAACACAAGGGAAGTAGATGAGCTATTAAAGCTAACATGTAACATTGGCACAAGAACAAATGAGCATAAACTGTCCATGTATAATAAGCATATTATAACAAGCATAAACTGCTTTCCATTGAGAGCAAGGACTTGCACTTCCTGGTTAGTAAGGTGGCTCATCTTTGTATGAATTTCCGCATGTAGTTTGGGATCAGTGTGTGTTGGTTTTTATTATTATTGTTAATATTTAAGAAATATACATGGAAAAAAATGTCACTTACCTTTTAAAGATGATCTGCTGTTCTCTGAAGGGAGTAGAGAGTAATTAGTTTCTTTGGCTCTTGTGTGTCTCTTCCTGGTGCCAGGGATCGTTTTAGTTCTATATTCTGTTCCCCATATTTTTTTTTTTTTTTTTTTTAATATTCAAGTAGCACTGCTCTTGAAGGCTCATGCTGCCAACAATGTATGATGAGTGCCATGTTTGCCTAACAGCTGCTGTTCTAGCACAGTAAAAATGCCTTTGGGATACGTGAACATTGCTGGAGAGGAAATAATATCAACTTTTAAACATATAAAATATAGGAGCTTCTATAAAGGGATAAGATGACTTAAGATGTGAAAGATGAGAGAAGCAATTATCCTGAATGCTCAGTTTCTTACAGGGTTGAAAAAAACAATAACCATCGTGAAAGGTTGCCTTACTTTGTTCTTAAAATGTTTCTTGACCATAAAAAAACAGGAGTCTAGCAGCTCCTTTTGAAAGTGCTCCATCTCTATACTCAATCAATATCCCTTTTTTTCTTTTTTTTATAAATGTATGTTACTGCTTTGTAGGGCTGTGCGAAATTTCACTGGCTGTTTCATTTCTACTCATTTCAAGGTCGAAACAGCAAAATTGAAATGAAACAAAGGGTTTCAAAACAGCCTTGAAACCAAATGAGGCTAGTCAAAATGTTTCGACCATAGTGCAGGGGATGAGAAGTAAGCCCAGCTGGGCTGACTCCCTGGTCCTAGCCCAATCTAACAGTTTTCACGGAACAGCATTCGTATTGAATTTCATTTCAATTTGAAACAGCTTTTCTGTTTTGCTTCATTGAAACAGTAAGGCTGTTTCGATGTTTTGCTAGATTGGCTGGGGACGGGAAATCGGCCGAGCTGGGCTGACTCCTCGGGCCCACCCCGATTTAGCGCTAGGGATGGGAAGTCAGCCCAGCTGGGAAGTCAGCCCAGCTGGGCCGACTCCCCGTCCCCAGCCGATCTAGCAAAACATTGAAACAGCCTCACTATTTCAACAAAGCAAAACAGAACAGCTGTTTCGAATCGAAATGATATTTGATACGAAATGCTGTTCTGTCAAAACCTTGAAACTCAAGGCGAAACAGAACGGTGCTGTTTCACACAGCCCTACTGCTTTGTTGTGTTTCAGTTTTAAAGAGTTGACTCAGAATGAAAGAAATCGATATTTACCCAACATAGGGTACAAGTTAGATTAATTCCATGATGTATGTGAGACACACAAGTAACACTTGGTTTCTTACCTATCTAGGAAAATGGTTTTGTTTCTTCGTGTAAAAATAGTTTTGGGTGATAGAAGAGCTGTGTGGCTCTGTGCTGACATGTTTCTCCTTCTTGAAGAGTCTTTTTTTAAGTAGAGGTGAAAAAGTTGAGACTGAGTTTACTCGTGTTCAGTCAGTTCTCAGGTTCTTAAGTCTTTTTGCTGGAAGCAGAAATTAATGTGTAGCGGTTTAGACTTTCTGAATGTAACAAAGGAGTGGCTGTGTAGACCATATTTAGGCTGGTTTGTCCTGAAAAGCTTTTCCCCCCTGTCACCCATTGTGCAAAGTCTCAGAATAGTTATATTGTACTGCTGTAATACAGCAGGAATAAAAGCTACATTTTTTCTTTTTGTGGGAGTCCTATCTATCTTTCAGCTATGCACTCACTCATTTCTTTAGTTTTCTAAAATGTTCGAAAGACTTTTATGTTACCAAGGGCAAAATTAAAAAAAAAAAACAGGTAAAAAATTTTAAATTTTTTACAGGTTATAAGCAGCTGGGCTAAATAACTTCTGTTGCCAAGAAAGGGAGCTGCGTATGTTCAATCCATCTGAAAAGCAAACTGCTTTTAGCTAGATGCTATTATAATACACACTTAAGTGCTTAAGTTCAAGCACCAGAGCTAGGAGAAAATCGCTTTTACTTTGTATTATGTGATATTGTAATGCACGTTACGTGAGATCAGTAGTAGAGTCCCAGCTAATTTAGTTTCAAATGAGGTAGACTGCATGAAATGGGATCAAGAAATCAACTCTGTGCAGGGCACAAAATAAAATCAAATGAAACTCAACTTGTGCCGCTTAAAAAGTGGAAAATCGCCAAAGGATTTCTTTGCTTTTTGCTTAAAATAAAATGTGACATTTTTCTCAAATCTTTCAATAGCTGATCTCAGCAGAAATGAATAAAAACGGCTGATTCGGAGGTAAGAAATGTATTACTGAAACTATGTTGCCATGAAAGCGCATCATTATTATACATGAGGCTTGTGCCACTGATAATTACTAAGGCTTCTAGGCACTCCCCATTATAAGAACCTATCTAATTTCTTATCACTTTACCAAACTAAGGAGTTGGTCTGGAATTTCCCAATGAGGAAAATGCCTCAAACCTAAATAGTTCGGAAAAATTCAGCCCTAAATTTCCAGGTGTTTCCAAGAGCAATGCAAGGCAAAAATATACTGTTTTGCCCTTGCTTAAAAAAGTTCTGGCACATTTTCTTCAAGAAGTTCTTGTGCCCAAATTGTTGGTGACTTCTGTTTTATATTATATCCTTATAGAAACCTTAGATTTAGCTGCTAAATGCAACAGTGCTCTATGCACTGGTGTCAAACAAGACTTTCCCTTCAACTAAAGTTGTGGTCTGCTGCCAGGTGTGCCAGACCTGGGACTAATCGATTAGGATTAAGAGAACCTGTCCTTGGTGCCGAGGGGACAGGAGTGAGACCTGCAGCAGGAGTAAATAGTGAGAGGGAGTTACCTGAGTTGGTCTGAAGTCAGGCAGAAAGCAGAATATGTTGGCCCTTTCTAAACTAGCTACAAATTTTATAAACTAATGAGCAGTGTATAGCTTTTAAGCCTTCTTAAGTAGAAGGTTTACTTTACCAGGCACAGTGCAGGCTCATGATTACACCTGAAGATGAATGTCTGAGTTGGTCTAATAAAAGATACCAGATTTACCGAAAGAACCTTGTCTTGCATTCAAGTTTGTCTAGCTCTAGGCCACCTGTGGAGTTGGTCCAATAAAACATACTGCCCTAAGGCATCCTTGCCTCCCACATAATTTCTGGACCATCCAGTCTATAACATTACTGTTTCGCTGCCATTTTTCCATATGACACTTGCCTCATTCAATGCACAGGATAGATCTGCTTTAGGGGTGCATCAGGTCTGTGTTGTGTTGGGTGGTCTGTAGGACACTTGCATTATTTTAGGAGTGTTGGGGACTGATACGAGAATTTGCAGAAGTGAAACAACAGTCTGATAGTTAAGGATGTTAAATGCTGCCCTTCTTATTCCTGTCTCCTGGGTGACACTTCTCAAGTCACTTAAACTGTTCGCATGTAGTCCCTACTAGTACATTCCTGTTTTGGGGGTGTTTGATATGAGACCCTGGATTTGATTTGCAGAAGCACTGAGCATCGACAGCTGCTACGGAAGTCACGAAGACACGCATCTTGAACACAGAAAGTGCTAAATAGTGCTGAGCCCCCTGAAAAATAGTGTCTTGGGCACCTGCAACTGGTCACTCAAAACCAGTGGAGACTTTGCTAAATTGATTTGTGCCTCAATTCTCAGTCTGTACAAAGAGAATAATTATATTCCTCCTTTCTACAGAGGAATTGCAAAAATTAATTTTATTTATACTGTCGATACAAGCGCCTTAGAGAAGCCCACAAAGACACGAGCGTGTTTGTCTTCCGATCAGGGGTTGAATACTGTGCAAAAAGCACGACATAAGGCTGCACCTTGAACAAAGAGCAAACAAGTTATCGAGGGGAAGATCATAAGGGGAGCACCATCCACCCTATATTTTACACAAGAGTCCTTAAGAAGGCTTTTGAAGGAAAAAATAACGTGATCATCGTGTGATTAAATGAGTGCATTATTGCACAGGCGCCAGAAGGCCGAATTAAGGCCATCTTAATTATGGCCCATCCTAATTTCTGAGTGATTGAGTTTCATACCTTAATGGGGAGCATTTAATGTGACCCTGTTTCAGCCTCCCCTCTCCAGAGAGATTTCCAGGGATGGTGGTGACGTGGACCTCGATGGGGCTCAGTGTGTAAAATGGGTGGCCACTC